GAGAATCATTTGTAAGCAATAACACACGGACAACAGCTTTACAAGACTCTCAAATGAGTGTATTCCAGAGCTGGCTTTTATACATACTTTGCTTACATTAGCCATGGTATATGCAAATACAGTACAGACTATAAGATTTATTACTTCCTTATATTACATTATTCTGACAATGGAAAGATAAGCTTTTGCATACGTCTGGAAAAGAATATCCTTAAAATCGGAATGGGCAAGACATCCTGAAATTTTAGCATTGTCTTACATCCTATAGAAGAAATACCTTAGTCTGTCACAGTCAGCATTATGTCGTATATTGAGTATTCAATATTCCTTCAGTCAGCAATAATCATGTTATAAACCTTATAAAAGCATAAAATACATATAAACAAGTTAACTATTTAATATTCTTACACCTTCTGGAAATGTTCCCCCCAGTCCCAGCACTGTGTGCGCCTTCTGGAAATATTCCCCCTGTCCCAGCACTGTGTGTGCCTTCTGGAAATGTTTCCCCCAGTCCCAGCACTGTGTGTGCCTTCTGGAAATGTTTCCCCCAGTCCCGGCACTGTGTGTGCCTTCTGGAAATGTTCCCCCCAGTCCCAGCACTGTGTGCGCCTTCTGGAAATGTTTCCCCCAGTCCCGGCACTGTGTGCGCCTTCTGGAAATGTTTCCCCCAGTCCCGGCACTGTGTGCGCCTTCTGGAAATGTTTCCCCCAGTCCCAGCACTGTGTGCGCCTTCTGGAAATGTTTCCCCCAGTCCCAACACTGTGTGCGCCTTCTGGAAATGTTTCCCCCAGTCCCAACACTGTGTGCGCCTTCTGGGAATGTTTCCCCCAGTCCCAGCACTGTGTGTGCCATCTGGAAATGTTTCCCCCAGTCCCAGCACTGTGTGTGCCTTCTGGAAATGTTTCCCCCAGCCCCAGCACTCTGTGCGCCTTCTGGAAATGTTCCCCCTGTCCCAGCACTGTGTGCGCCTTCTGGAAATGTTCCCCCCAGTCCCAGCACTGTGTGCGCCTTCTGGAAATGTTCCCCCTGTCCCAGCACTGTGTGCCTTCTGGTAATGTTTCCCCCAGTCCCGGCACTGTGTGTGCCATCTGGAAATGTTTCCCCCAGTCCCAGCACTGTGTGTGCCTTCTGGAAATGTTTCCCCCAGTCCCGCACTGTGTGCCTTCTGGAAATGTTCCCCCTGTCCCAGCACTGTGTGCGCCTTCTGGAAATGTTCCCCCCAGTCCCAGCACTGTGTGCGCCTTCTGGAAATGTTCCCCCTGTCCCAGCACTGTGTGCCTTCTGGTAATGTTTCCCCCAGTCCCGGCACTGTGTGTGCCATCTGGAAATGTTTCCCCCAGTCCCAGCACTGTGTGTGCCTTCTGGAAATGTTTCCCCCAGTCCCGGCACTGTGTGCCTTCTGGAAATGTTTCCCCCTGTCCCAGCACTGTGTGTGCCTTCTGGAAATGTTTCCCCCAGTCCCGGCACTGTGTGTGCCTTCTGGAAATGTTTCCCCCAGTCCCGCACTGTGTGCGCCTTCTGGAAATGTTTCCCCCAGTCCCAACACTGTGTGCGCCTTCTGGAAATGTTTCCCCCAGTCCCAGCACTGTGTGCGCCTTCTGGAAATGTTTCCCCCAGTCCCAGCACTGTGTGTGCCTTCTGGAAATGTTTCCTCCAGTCCCAGCACTGTGTGTGCCTTCTGGAAATGTTTCCCCCAGTCCCAGCACTGTGTGTGCCTTCTGGAAATGTTCCCCTAGTCCCAGCACTGTGTGTGCCTCCTGGAAATGTTTCCCCCAGTCCCAGCACTGTGTGTGCCTTCTGGAAATGTTCCCCCTGTCCCGGCACTGTCTGTGCCTTCTGGTAATGTTTCCCCCAGTCCCGGCACTGTGTGTGCCATCTGGAAATGTTTCCCCCAGTCCCAGCACTGTGTGTGCCTTCTGGAAATGTTTCCCCCAGTGCCAGCACTGTGTGTGCCTTCTGGAAATGTTTCCCCCAGTCCCAGGACTGTGTGTGCCTTCTGGAAATGTTCCCCCTGTCCCAGTACTGTGTGTGCCTTCTGGAAATGTTCCCCCCAGTCCCAGCACTGTGTGCGCCTTCTGGAAATGTTCCCCCTGTCCCAGCACTGTGTGTGCCTTCTGGAAATGTTTCCCCCAGTCCCAGCACTGTGTGCGCCTTCTGGAAATGTTTCCCCCTGTCCCAGCACTGTGTGTGCCTTCTGGAAATGTTCCCCCTGTCCCAGCACTGTGTGTGCCTTCTGGAAATGTTCCCCCCAGTCCCAGCACTGTGTGTGCCTTCTGGAAATGTTCCCCACAGTCCCAGCACTGTGTGCGCCTTCTGGAAATGTTCCCCCTGTCCCAGCACTGTGTGTGCCTTCTGGAAATGTTCCCCCCAGTCCCAGCACTGTCTGTGCCTTCTGGAAATGTTCCCCCCAGTCCCAGCACTGTCTGTGCCTTCTGGAAATGTTCCCCCCAGTCCCAGCACTGTGTGTGCCTTCTGACACTAATCCCCATCTGCTCTTATCCTTCTCCACATCGCTTAACTGCCATCAATCCCTGTCTGCTCTTATCCTTCTCCACATCCCTAACTGCCATTGATCCATGTCTCCTCTCCATCACTAACTGCTACTGATCTCTGTCTGCTCCTATCCCCCTCCTCCTCACTAACTGCTACTGATCCCTGTCTGCTCCTATCCCTCTCCTCCTCACTAACCGCCATTGATCTCTGTCTGCTCCTATCCCTCTCCTCCTCACTAACTGCCACTGATCCATATCTGCTCGAACCCCTCTCTCCATCCCTCACTGACATCGATCACTGTCTACTCCTCTTCCTCTCCTCATCACTAACTGCCACTGATCTGTTTCTCCTCCACATTACTAACTGCCACTGATCCCTGTCTGCTCTAATCCCTCTCTCCATCACTAACTGCCACTGATCCCTGTCTGCTCTAATCCCTCTCTCCATCACTAACTGCCACTGATCCCTGTCTGCTCTAATCCCTCTCTTCATCCCTAACTGCCATCAATCACTGTCTGCTCTAATCCCTCTCTCCATCACTAACTGCCACTGATCCCTGTCTGCTCTAATCCCTCTCTCCATCACTAACTGCCACTGATCCCTGTCTGCTCTAATCCCTCTCTCCATCACTAACTGCCACTGATCCCTGTCTGCTCTAATCCCTCTCTCCATCACTAACTGCCACTGATCCCTGTCTGCTCTAATCCCTCTCTCCATCACTAACTGCCACTGATCCCTGTCTGCTCTAATCCCTCTCTTCATCACTAACTGCCACTGATCCCTGTCTGCTCTAATCCCTCTCTCCATCACTAACTGCCACTGATCCCTGTCTGCTCTAATCCCTCTCTCCATCACTAACTGCCACTGATCCCTGTCTGCTCTAATCCCTCTCTTCATCCCTAACTGCCATCAATCACTGTCTGCTCTAATCCCTCTCTCCATCACTAACTGCCACTGATCCCTGTCTGCTCTAATCCCTCTCTCCATCACTAACTGCCACTGATCCCTGTCTGCTCTAATCCCTCTCTCCATCACTAACTGCCACTGATCCCTGTCTGCTCTAATCCCTCTCTTCATCCCTAACTGCCATCAATCACTGTCTACTCCTATCTCGCTCTACATTACTAACTGCAACTGAGCCCTGTCTGTTCCTATCCTTGTTCTCTGGGAACTGGGGCCAGGGCAGGACTGATCAACCAGGTTACTCGGAAATAAATTTGCGACAGTGCGCAGACACGGGGTGACAGTCAGGAGGGGAAGCATTCCCATTACTGCCAGTCACTGCATATAGAGTAGCTAGGCCACGGACTGGGGGGAGGGAGCTTCTGTTTCCTGCCAGACTAGGGCGATGGAGTGAGACACATGGAGAGGCTAAGAGCAAATGAGACACATGGAGTGGTTGGGGGGAAATGACACGTGGCGGAACAGACCTCGCCAAGTGTTCTTGGAGGGGGCTGCTTGCCCGCCTCCTACCTTCTGACTATGGCCCTGGGATATATGGCATTTGAATACACTATTTGTGCACTGTGACAAAACTGGAGATTGTGCACAAATATGACTATTGTTCATCTTTTTTATGTTTCCCTTCATTGTTGCACTGTTCCCCATGTGTTTCATCTGTTGGTTCGGCTGGATAGACTACCAGACAAACTGTGGAGTTAGTGGGTGGCCACCATTTCATGTATTAGAGGCACATGGTGAGAACAATGGATGAAGCACATGGTGAGAACAATGGATGGCGACCATTTTAACTCACAGACACTGTTTGGACTTTTCTACACGGTGCCATCTCGCCAGTATTTGGTGCACAAAGACATCGTTCAGTAGTTTTAAACTATACAACAGGGGACACATTATACAGTGATTGTTTTTCATATAGCCTGTATATGTTCTGCGGAATCTGCATTAAACTGTATCTTACAAACTACTGAACGGATCTGGGTGAATTTTGGATATATATTTTTTATGGGGTTATTGCATGTTTTGGGGTACCTGTGATTTGTTTTATAATGCTGTATTTTCTTGCCTGTGATAATTAAGTTAGTCTATTGTGTTGAGATAATTGTATCACAGGCAGAGGGGAGGATTTCTGATGTAATGAATGGGAGTGTTAGCTGTGTTGTAATGTGTTGATTGGTTGTTCTTCAAAACCCTGTGGGCAGTACTATGTTTGTAGAATGTGAATAAAAGAGGCTGTATGTGCCAGTACAGAGAGTTCTACTTCACCCTCAATCTAGAGTCCTGTCTCTTATTGGGGGAATTTGCTACAAGGGATTGCTATGCTCTGCGTATTCCCTTGCTATAATCACTGAGCTCTCGTAAGAGCTTGTTCCTGTCTTGCTCTCTGAAGGAGTCTACGGTGGTTATGGTGTCGGCTGCAGTGCTTGGAGCCCTCAGGAAGCGCTAGGAGCATCCTTTAATGGAGGTACCCAGTCGGGTTCCAGGTGATCTGTTACAACACACTTAGGGGTTGGATGGGAGAATGAGAAACAAGGAGGGGCTGCAGGTGAATGGCACACATGGAGAAGCTGGTCAGGGGGAAATGAGACTCAAGTGATTGAGGGGATACTGAGGAGAATGGAGGGGCTGGGGAGGAAATGTGACACAGAGGGGCTGGGGGGGAATATGACACAGAGAAGGGCTGGAGAAGAAAGACACACAGAGTGACTTGGGGAAGAAAGAGACACACAGAGGGGTGGGAGGAGACAAAAAAGTGGCTTGGGGGAGAAATATACCCACAGAAGGGCAGGGAATGGCAATAAGAGACACAGAGGGGCTATGGGGAAAGAGACACACAGAGGAACCGGGACAGCTGAAAGACACACAGAAGGGCTGAGAAAGGGGAGAAGGAGACAGTAGGGCAGGGGCTAAAAGCTTGGGGATGAAAGTCACCCAAAAGGGAATGGGGGATAGGGATATACAGAGGAGTGGGAGAAGATACACACAAATGCACTTGGCAGAAGTAAAAGTTACACAAAGAGCAGTTGAAAGAGATCAAAGGAGAAAAATGTGAGATAAGATACAATAAAGTGGGTAAGACAATCAGAAGAGGAAATAAGAAACATAAAAGGGGCAAGAAGTTCAGAAGGGACACTGGAGTGGTCTGGGTGCATATTCCCAGGTCCCTTTACCCTGGAAAGGTAATTATTGCAGTTTTTAATTAACTGCAATAATTACCTGCTAGAGTTAACTCCACTTCTTGGGTCTGTCTACAGCCACTAGAGGGACTTCCAGGTCGTTAGGTGACTTTAAATGATGCCGGATGTCCTCAATTTATGCATGAGAACATCCGTCATGTAAAACCCCATAGGAAAGCACTGTATAATGCATTGTGCATGTGCATTAGGTCTCCCCCACTGGCTAACATCGGCGCTGGAAAAAAGTGACAGAAGGAGTTTTTAACCCATTATGCACCACGGGGGGGACTTTATTTTACTGGCACTATAGTTTCCCTTTAAGACAGGGGTGTCCAAACCTTTTTCAAAGAGGGCCAGATTTGATGAAGTGGACATGCATGAGGGCCGACCATTTTGCCTGACATTCTTTGAACCATTAAAATTGAATGCAAATTAACCATTTTATGCAAAGTTTATTGAAAACGGCATACTTTTCATGTCATCTCTTTATTCTGTCTTCTCTCTTTTTGTTCTGTCTCTTTTTATTCTGTCTCTTCTCTCTTTATTCTGTCTCTTGTCTATTTATTCTGTCTCTCTTTATTCTGTCTCTTGTCTATTTATTCTGTCTCTCTTTATTCTGTCTCTGTTTATTCTGTCTCTCTTTATTCTGTCTCTCTTTATTCTGTCTCTCTTTATTCTGTCCATTCTCTGTTTTTCTGTCCCAGCAGGGAGAAGGAACCAAATCTCGTGAATTCCATGACGTCCCAGAGATCGCGAGAACGCAGACTGAGGTCACTGCATGTACGCCTGCGGTCTCATGATCTCTTGGCCCCCAGTGAATCCCCGAGCGCCACTCAGGACCGCGGCGTTTCAAGATCCAGAGATCCCAGGGGTCCTGAGTGACACTCGGGGATTCACTGGGGGCCACAACAGGTAGATTAGCCAAACTACCTGCGGGGCCGTATTAAACCAGAATGCGGGCCACAATTGGCCTGCAGGCCAGACTTTAGACATGACTGCTTTAAGTGAAATAGGTGAAGATGCATTTTTTTTGCAGAGGGCAGTGGGGCTTGATTTTTCACCTGTGAAACTCAGGTCTTCAGAACAGGAGTCTATGCTGAAGAGTTGGTGACAGGTGAGAGAAAGATATCTTATTAAATGACACTATAGTCACCAGAACCCTTACAGCTTAATGCAGTGATTGTGGTGTCTATAGCCTGTCCCTATAGATGTTGCACTGTAAATGATGCCTTATCAGAGAAAAGGCAGTGTTTACATTGCTGCCTAGTATCACGTCTAGTGGCAATGACTCAGACGGTCACTAGAGCTGCTTCCTAGTCCAGTGCTCTGCATGGAGGTGCTGAACACTCCCCATAGATATGTATTGATTCAATGTATCTCAATGCAGAGATGCTGATTGGATAAACAAGATAACGTCATTTTTTTTACAGCTGTACAACATTCACCATTTCAGTCCCATTACAAAACATTCCATAACATGTCGAGGTAGATGGACCAAAACATTGATTATATGCAAACGCACATCTGCTTAAAATAAACATACAGTGAGGGAAAACAAGTATTCGATCCCCTGCTGATTTTGAACTTTTTTGAGATGAGTTTTTCTGCATTTTTTTTAATTTTTATTCTGTCTCTCACTGTTAAAATACAGCTACTATTAACATTAAAATTATAGACTGATCATTTCTCTGTCAGTGGCCAAACGTTCAAAATCAACAGCCCTCTGAGTGCTTTCTTTCACATTAGAGTAATAATTTTTATTTTTTAACTTTAAATTATCTTTCCCACCTCTATATCTGCGCACTATGTTGGCGCGACGTATTATTGAGCTGAAATAGAATTTTATTCCAAGGCTGCTTTTCGTTCCCAGTCTGGGGCCCATGTTTGATGGTTGTCTACGAAGATAAGACCTTTGGTTTCCCATGACGGCAGAGTCTTCTCTCCTCCAAATGTTTCCAGATGGACTTAATGCCTCAACGAGGAAACATTTGGGACACATATTTGTGGCCATCAAATAACCATAGCTTGGAAATCTAATGAATGCCCTCAATGGAGAGAGATTGAATCAATGATACTGAAAACAGGATGTGGGGAAAATATCTTCAGCTACCACCGTGATCTTCATAGAAAAGTTTTGGTCCAAAGCCCAATATCTTTATAGACCCATAAATACAATACCGTCTCCTTCCCCTTCAACGTTCTGTCTTCGAGCCCCTTCATGCTGCCGACTCAGTGTCCACCAAATGCCTTTAGATAGGAATTTATATAATGAAGTCATTCTTTTTTTGTTGATACATGGTTTAAATTTTGGATATGACCTTTTACACATTATTTTGTCATATGTTTGGTGACAATAGAATCAGAACAAATAATAGAGTGAACCATAGAGCGTTGGCATAATCTGGCACAGGAAGAGTTAGACACTGCAAGTCCCACAGACGGCAATCTATACCCCCCGAGAAGCAGTTACCGGCTGCATGGTCTTATTTTACAGTAAGCCCTCTTTAAAGGGCTCGTTTGAAACCAACATGACAGGAGGCTTCATATTTTACATAACTTTCTTTACTTATGCCTCCAGCAGCACAAGTCAATCATAAAACTTAAACCAATCAGAAACAAGTAACACATTCCATATAATGCTCTGACAGGCATTGCTCCTCCTCTTTCTTTGCTGCTCCAACCAGGCACAGGTCAGAGTATTTTGTTCTGAGCAGATTTTATTCAATTTGTTGTATTTGTAACAGATCCCCCTGTTTTTCGTTGGATATGTAATATTGTGAACAAGTCATTCGGTTAAAAACCTTCATTTAAATTGACTACAATGGATGCTATCAGCAAAAGCCGTTCGAAAACCGAATCCGTTTGCACGAACACATGGCGGCGGCCATTTTCTTTAGTTGAACACACTCAGCTGTGTTTTGTTGTTGAACGTGTGGAACCATTTTCGGCTACTCTTTTCCACGAACACCTCGAAAACTTTCATCTTCCGTGCGTTCGGCTAAACTCATACGAACGGAGCACTCGCCAGAATAAACTCCTGAAAAAGTCGCTTCTAAAGAGACTAAGCACGAACCGATCCGTTCGTGCAATTTGAACTTTATCCGAAGGGGAAAATAGACTTTTATCTATCTCCCGAACACCTGAATGGATTCATGTAATTTTTACATATGTTGTTCCCCATGTTATACTGAGTATAAAAATATAAGTTTTATTTGTATACAATGTAAAATCAAGACGTTATAAAAATGTACAAAAAGTATGATTTTTCAGCTTGGAGATATTTGGGTAGATACAGTAAGTAACTCAATTATCTCCCAAGCAGAGGGGAGGGAATAAGTGGGTTGTAACCATTGTTTGATTGGTCAATGTATAATTGTCTGTGGGCGTCTCCCTTGCATGGGAGCACCGCATAAAAGGAGAGTATCTGCCATTAAACCTCAGTTCTTCTTCACCCTCAATCTAGAGTCCTGTCTCTTATTGGGGGTAACCGCTATACAGCTCTTTACACTAGCTCTTGTAAGAGCTTCTTCACTTGGATCACGACTGAATGCTGAGAATCCTTCTCACTGATCGGGAAAAGGACACTCTCCAGCAGTGGAAACCCCTCTGCTACCCGGGGTAACCGCTACAGTATTGTACTTGGATGTAGTTTACTGAATTACTATTTATACCGGTTTGCCCTCCTGTTCCCTCTCCTGTCTTACCCCCTTTATTCTTATACCTATGTAATGCTTGTTTATCCTGCTTTCTGCTACCCAGAGCCTTCTCTACCTTACTGAAGGCCTGAGCCTTAGCTGTGCTAGCCTTTCACTCACTCCCATTTACTCCCGCACAGTGGCTTTTTGCCACAAT